CGCCAGCCGGCCGGGGAGGACAGGCTGCACAGAGCCGGGGCCTCTGTGTTCCTTCTGTCCACTGATCCGCTACTTGTTTTCCTCTCCTGTTGGGGAGCTGAGCTGAAACCCAGGGAATTCGAGCTTGAACCCCATCTGTGAACCTGGCCATCTCTGTTCTGAGTTGCTTGTGAGCTGGGTGGTCTGGGATGTGCTGGTATTCATGACCGTTAATGCTCCAGATGGTGCTGAGGCCTGCCAGTCCCAGAGCCTCTGCATGGCTGTGCTGCAAACATTGTTGATTTGAATCTGTTTCTGCGTTTTTACTAATTTGTTTTCTCCCTCTTTTACCCCCTCCTTCCCTCTGTCCCGCCCGTTCCCATCCCCTTTTTCTCTCCTTTGTAGACCACATAGCCCACATCATAGAGCTGCTAGGCAGTATCCCAAGGCACTTTGCTCTGTCTGGAAAATACTCTCGGGAATTCTTCAATCGCAGAGGTAGTACCTCTTCTTTTTGGAAAGCGCCACGATGCAGACAGAAACGGAATAGCAGCTACTGGTTTCAGCATTCATGGTGACAGAGGCGTCTCTCCTAAATTTATAAAGCAGCCGGCAGAACCCAGTGCTGGTGTCAAAGCTGGGAGAGAAATCACGTGGCCCAGGGCTGCGTCACCTGTGCATCAGCTCCTCCAAGGTGTCCTGGGCCCGGTGCCTGCATCCAGCCACACGGCGGAGCCAGTGCTTTTGTTGCTCTGGGCGCTCGGTTTCTGTCTGCACAGGCGGTGGCCGTGTCTGCATGCAGTGTGCTGATTAAATGTCGTGTGTTTCGGTTTTGCTGGTAATGTTTCCCAGTGCAGATCACATAGCATTGATCATTGAACTGCTCGGGAAAATCCCTCGAAAATTCGCTATGTTGGGGAAATATTCCAAGGAGTTTTTCACCAGAAAAGGTAACGGTACTATGCAACGCTAATTTCAGCATAAACAGCATAATCCTCTCCAAAAGGAGAGGATTATGCTTTTGCATTTGGGCATTGGAGAAAAACCTGGACTCACAACTGGGGAATTCTACTGAAGGAAGCTCCCAAGAAATAAACATGAGTGAACCATCTGATACCTGTGGAATAAGAATTTTGTAAGAGACAACCTTCCTAAAATCTTTTATCTCCTCCACACCTCCTCTCTCCTGCTCTGAGTACCAATCTGTGTATTAAAGTATTTATAAGAGGAGTTAAGTGATCGCTAGAAACCAGCTAAACTTACCTTTACATTTTCTGTGCTGTTCATGGAGCTGGAGTGACCTGCACCGGAGCAGTGGCAGCCCAGAGCCTTGCCTTGTGACCGCCCACTGTGTCCTCTTGGACCTGTCGGAGGCTCATGCAGTGGGCAGGCCTGTGACGTCCATTGAGCTCCATTCCTGCAAACCCGCCCCTGTTCTCCCGTTGCAGGGTCTCACACTGTATTATAAGTGATTTTATTTTAATATTATTATTCTTATTGATCCTTCCTTGGCATGACCTGTTTCTTTGCCCTGTATAGTCAGTCCCCTTATTAATGATCAGTTTTCAAAAACTCCAGGAATTATTTTTGAAGAGTCCCTCCCCAGTGCTATAGTCTTTTGTGTGAGTATAGTTAGTTCTCTTAATTCATGATTTTTCAGCTTAATTTTTTATTGTTGTTAGAACCTTTAAAATTGGTGTGAGCAGGACATGGAGTTATAGAAATTCCTGAAAATCCCCGATACTCTCTGCCCCCTGCCCTAACCTGATTTGTTGCACCAATTTGACATTTTATTTTCCTATGAGATAAAGGAATTCTTGTAGAGTAATTAACCCCCCCTCCCCGTTTTTTTGTTGTTAATTCTCATCCAAGGATATTTTCTCATTGTTTTTTAGAGAGAGTGGAAGGGAAGGGGAAAAACATTGATGTGAGAGAGGCACATCGATTGGTTGCCTCCTGCAAGCGCCATGATCAGGGCCAGGGATTGGGGATTGAGCCTGCAACCAAGGTACATGTCCTTGACTGGAATTGAACCCGGGACCCTTCAGTCCGCAGGCTGACAGACGCTCTATCCACTGAGCCAAACCAGCTAGGCTAGAGTAGTTATCTTTTATTATACACTTGATGTTCAGCTCACCAGCCTTGTTTTGTCCTGTAGGTTTTATTTCCCCGTTAAATATATGGGAGAACCAAGAACTAACCATGGGAAGGTGTTCATGTGTTCCACTTCCTGGAGCACATTGACCACAACCGAGCTTTTCTGGAACCACCCAGTGGGCAGCCTGTGACATGTGAAACCAGATGCAGTTATTTTTTTACTACCTTTATACGGCTTATCACAGGAAAAAGAATTGTCAGGGAAAACGGTTTACCATTTACCAGACAACCTGTATTAATTTTGGTTCTGAGACTCTGGTCTTCAAGTCTGGGTCACAGGAGTGAGATGGAAAGTTCCCCTGCCCCACCCGCAGGCTCACTCCCAGGCCTCTGAGCAGCCTGAGGGCACCTGTGCTCTGGGTGGTGCTGCCCTGAGGCGCCCCGCCTGCTCTGCCGCAGGCTGAGTGTCCTCCAGGCACCGCACTGGAGAAGACCCCGCAGCAGCAGCTGAGGGCCTGCACCCTCCTCACCGTGTAGGTTGCCTTCAGAGGGCAGGCTGCTGAGTGCTATCTAGTGAACTGATGTCAGGTGGTGGTGGGTTTCAGCTCAGAGCTCCCTGTTCTGGGGCCCTTCATGCTGGAAGCTGGCTTTCTGGTTGGCCTTTGCATCAGCACCCCGGCACCTGGGTGCTCCTGGTCTGTGCCCTTCCCTGCCTGCGCACAGGCCAGTGTCAAGTCCTCCATTGTCCCGGCTGCGCTTAGGGCTTGCATACGCGGCTCTTTCTGAGGCGCTTGTGTCACGGTGACCCGTGGGGTCGAATGCATTTAGCATTCTTGGTGTAAATCTCATGCTTGTCCCAGGATTTGCCTTCATAGTCCCGTATGTGGTGTAAAAACTCATAATTCTGGAACATTATAATTTTACGGACAGAATAACATATTTCCCTTCACAGATCACTTAATATTTAAGAGACATAATGGAAGTGCTTCACTTTTTCCCCTAAAAAGTAACCCGATAACCTGGGACTGGCAAGTACAGTCCCAGTCCCAAAGCCTTCACTCTGGAGGAGCGCTCCCGCAGGCCTTTCCCGGAGCTTTCGGTGGCTCTGGGGGCTGCCCTGGGCTGGCGAGGGTGGCCGGTCAGGGCTCCCATCCAGAAAGGAGCCTGGCTGGTGTCCTGTTTGCGCACAGTGTGTGAGAGCTGGTGCCGAGGGAGGGAGAAAGGCTTCAACAGTGAAGACGATCACCGTGAGGTGTCATTAAGTCTGTACTTGCAGAATTTGTTACAGCAAAACATATCTTGGTATATTTTCTTAAGTGAAAAAACTGTCAGGGCAAAAAAATTCTTTAACTTATGTGGGAGCCACTTAGGTTCTTATTTTATTTTTATAGTAAGTGGTGGCAGTGCAGGTGCTGTTTCTTGTGTTTTATATGCGGGGCTGGAGCTGGTAAGGGGACTGGAGGCCCTGACTCCTCCGATGAGCCTGGATTTATCATTTCTGCCACGGGTAGATCTCCAAGTTTGGGAGCTGAGGGTTTGTTTTTAACCTTCATCAGCTGGTTATCAGACAGCATTTCTTATTGAGTTAAATGCAAGAATGTGTACATATAGTCATAGGGCCTGGGCGAGTTTATTTCACGTTTTTGTTGTAGTTTTTTGGCATCATGTATTCTTTCACCTATCCACATAATCCACATATTCTTTTTAGAGGCAGTTCAGTTATATTGCATTGTTATTCTGTCTTCATTGCCTACTGGTGTTTAGGATTATTCTGCATATTTTCCTGTTATAGGCCACATATTTGCACATACAGTTTTTTATGTGCGATTTACCTGGTCAAAGTATGTAAGATATTTTAGACTGGGGATATTTTTATCAGTTTGTGATACTAGTTAGGTCTGAATAGTTTTCACAGCCTTTCAGCACTGAATTGTTATCATCACTATTATGCAGACTTTAAGTCACCTTTGGGGTAATCCATATTTTCACTAAAGAATGTACATACTTTCATGCCTTCTGATGGATTTTTGTTTGTGTAAAAACTGGCATCCTCGGGACTACATGTCTCGGTTGTTCTGGGCAGACAGTGCCTCTGGGTAGTTTCATTCATTTCTAAGCCTGGAAAGTATTTCTTCCAAGTTAGAATAGATGAGTGTAAATAGAGTTTACAGAGAGGAAGGGAGAGGGATAGAGAGTTAGAAACATCAATGAGAAAGAAACGATCAATCAGCTGCCTCCTGCACACCTCCCACTGGAAATGTGCCCGCAACCAAGGTACATGCCCTTGACTGGAATTGAACCTGGGACCTTTTAGTCCGCAGGCCAGCGCTCCATCCACTGAGCCAAACCGGTTAGGGCCACCTGTTATATCTTTATGGGCACTTTGAAGATAACTCTTGTGATCAATGTATAGAACATAGTTTTCACATTCATTCTTTTACTACCAAACATTTTACCATATAATTCCATGTTATTAAGTAGTATTAAATAATATTCATTCAACAAACCACGGTTGTTGTTTTTAAACACCATTCTCCTATTACTGAGCATTTGAAATACTGCAAGTATATATACTTTTGCAGTATGCATATTTAGGAGGTATGTGGTGGGGG